AATGTCACAGCCCACAGCAACCTCCAGCTGCTAGGCTTAGGTGATTCTCTTGCCTCAGCCTCTTGAATAGTTGGGACTACAGATGCCTGCCACAACTCCTGGCTTTTTTTTTTTTTTTTTAAGAGAGATAGAGTCTCATTCTATCACCCTCGGTAGAGTGCTGTAGTGTCATGGCTCATGTCATAGCAACCTCATACTCTTGGTTAGGTGATTCTCTTGCCTCAGCCTCTTGAATAGTTGGGACTACAGATGCCTGCCACAACTCCTGGCTATTTTTTTTTTTTTTTTAAGAGATAGAGTCTCATTCTATCACCCTCGGTAGAGTGCTGTAGCATCTCAGCTCACGGCAACCTCCAACTTCTGGGCTTAGGCGATTCTGCCTCAGCCTCCCAAGTAGCTGGGACTACAGGTGCCTGCCACAACGTCTGGCTACTTTTTGTTGCAGTTTGGCCAGGGCTGGGTTTGAACGAGCCACCTTCCGTATATGGGACCAGCGCCCTACCCACTGAGCCACAGACGCCACCCAGGAGTTCAGAGTTCTTAGCCTGATTTGTAAGGTCCCGCATAATCTGGCCCTACTTAATTCTAGCATCATTTTTTTCCATTCTCTAACTTATTTCAAACTTTATGCTGTAACTATACACTAAGTCCCTGAGGTTTCAAACATCTGACTTAAATTGCATTTACAAACAGAGGTTATGTTTGTAACAGTATGGTACAGCAGGGCATCCCAAACCACTAGGCACAAAAAGTAGCAGGCACAGTTCCAGTCTAGCTACAGCATAGCAAAGTCACCGTGCTTATTGAAAAGTTACGGTGCTCATGTTGATGGGGGTGACCCCCTCTTCTGGCTCTGCTTTCTAGTACTGGACAGTATAGGGAATTGGCTCTTGTTATTTATTTTTTATTTTTTATTTTTTTTGAGACAGAGCCTCAAGCTGTCCCCCTGGGTAGAGTGCCGTGACATTACAGCTCACAGCAATCTCAACTCCTGGGCTCAAGCGAGTCTCCTGCCTCAGCCTCCCAAGTAGCTGGGACCACAGGCGCCCAACACAACGCCTGGCCATTTTTTGATTGCAGCCATCGTTGTTTGGCGGGTCCAGGCTGGGGATTCGAACCCGCCACCTTAGGTGTACTTAAGGGAAAGAACGGTGTGTTGTACAGTGTAT